ATTCTTAATAAATTTATATAAAAATAAAACTGTAAATCTCCGTCACACCGAAAATGGGATTGTTCACAGTATTTCCCGCTTCTCACTCACATTTTGCACACGCATAAAATTATATTAAGGCCTATTTACATAGCTCACCAATGAAACTTTTTAGTGGCACAACTTCTTACAAGAAATTAATTTTATAGTATGCACTTTGTTTTGCACAAAAGATTCTCAAAATATGCGTTCGGTGAGCGTAATGTCGCGATCATAACAAAATATAAGACGGACTTGCTTTCAAAAAGCAATAGTGTCCCAGCTGCCCAGCTGTTATCAGTAATAATTGGTAGAGACCACTAACTGGGATTTTTAATTAGTATTTATAAAGAAATTTTCGAGAATACAAGTAACAGGTGTTTACAAAAACTGTTGATCTATTAAGACAAATTGATACAAGCCGTTGTACAAAAGCTGAAGACTTTGTCTTTGATTGTTGAGGAAATATTAAATATTTCGTCAATAAGTTGCGCCACGATATTTTTGACCGCACTATAATAAAACAACTTGGTGCGTTCACTCCACTGAAGCCTTTAGACTTTGTAAAGGTTATGTGTAAACAATACACGTATTTTCCTTTACGTTTTGTCATTGTCAGGACTGACAAATGAGCTATCATTATTATTACTTTTGGTAATACAATGTACGAAAACTACTCTCGAAAAGTACAGTTGTAAACTAGTTCTATTTCCCTTAAACCTCGACACATGCCGTGTTAAAAATATTTATTTGTTTTCATCCTGAAACTGAATCAATCTTTGAAGATTAACTTACGACAGATTGTACACTCTATTTGAAACACCATGGTCCTTCAAAATGTCAGAGGATATATCTACATCACAAGTGGGTATTTCTGAATTTAAGTCTGACGTTTTGTAGCCTTCGGAATACTTGATTCATTTTCTCGATATAGGCTTAAAAAGTGAATAACATAATATAATCTTCCAAGTAGGATGAGAAAAAACAATTCAGATGGTACTTGACATCGGAACTTGTTCGTCCGCAGGTATGTCAAGTTACCAACTGCGCTACCATAACAGGCTGTCTGGTGTTCAAACCCTTGCTCTAGGGAATACATACTTGTTCTTTTGTGTTTTTTGTGTAGGGTTTGTTTAAAAAAATATTATGTGTTTTACGCCCCCCTCGACACAATGTAGATCATTTAGGGGGAGGACTTCGATCCTCCCTGCCAAGGCCAACGAACGCTGAGAGACCGAGATACTAAATAAAAGATTTTCCCCAACTACTCCTCCAGATCAGACCCTCTCTTGAGTTCTGGGGAATTTCATTCCTGACGTAGAAGAGGTTTTTGTCCAAAGCTTATCAATTACTAATGTGATCTACATGAAAGTTCTCCAGTGTTTTCTATTTCACTTCTTCACTCCTAGAAGTTTCTTTCCCCTATTTTCCTAATGGCTCATGTGTGGTTACATAGTCCCAGGCTTTAGACATCAGGAAGTGCAACCAGTCTAATTGTATTACTCGTCCAAAATGAACCATACGAAAGAAAGAAAAAAAAACTTCCTTCAACAAACCCAGTTGTCTGGTCAGACCGCGGGTACGGCGTAGCTGTAGAAAAAATGAGTTTCTCCTATATGAGAAACTTCCTCACGAAGAGACCGAACTCATGTTTTCTGTGCGAAAGTTGAAGATTCTGAGCATTACAGCACAGATACCGACACATTGAAAACGTGTGAATATTTTCGAGTTTTTGCATGTGAGCGTCGGGAAGGGAGATGCCTAGTTATTCGGCCGTCTTACTTTGAATTTGAAGAAAAATAGAAAAATGAATACTTTGAAATCGAAAAAAGGGTCTCCAGTGATTAAGCATAGACTTTTATCTCGCTAGATATATTAAAACTAGTTCTATATTTTCTTGCCACCGAAGAGTACGGCGACTATAAACTTACAAAGATAAGCCCAAGTGATGTTGACTGAAATCGTGACCAAAATGGTCTCGAGAGTTCTCAAACGGCTGGTTGTTTTTTTCGCTCACTATCTTAATAACACTGACGTAGTAAATAGGGGACACTTTTAGGTCTGTTCTCCAGTAATAATCCCTTGTATATTTAACGTAGATCAAGAGTCTGAGAATAAGACATGGTCCGAAGGAAATGGGGGCAAGTGAGGAGAGGGAAATGTAGAAAACAGGTTGTAAACGTAGGTCCCTTCCGAGCTTTATTACCAGTCCGGCACTTACATGATCTTTTTGTGTTGCACAGCCGTAAAACTCTAAACAAAACTAAATTTACTATCAATCGTTCCTTTATACTTCTGTAGGATATAAAACCATCGTCAACTAATCAGTCCGCTTTCGTAAGTTTATTGCTACTGAGATATGTCTATTACACGTCATAAAATCACACGTGGACAAAAAACAGACCCCGTATGCGTCTTTCAGAAAACGGAATTCTATATAAGAGGAGGACAGTGTTCTGTTGAGCCATCATCTGTCTGCAAGCTGCAGTAACCACACCAGAACACAGCAGCTCAACAGCCAGCCACCTATTTGTCCTTGTGCGAGTGACGCCATGAAGCTAGTCGCGGTCATCTTGCTGTGCCTGGCGGCATCTGTCTTGTCAGAAAAAAGAATCATCAACGGGAGTCCAGCAGACCTGTACTCTCACCCCTACATCGCCTCTCTGCAGGTGCTGGAAGTGAGTTTTTACTTCTCCTATTGGAAACACATCTGCGGAGGCTCTCTCATCCACCAGAACTGGGTGCTCACTGCTGCTCACTGCGTAGACGGCATCGATACAAGACAATTCCGGGTGAAGCTGGGAGCTCTGGATCTGGATGGGTCTACCCCCTACGAACAGGTCCGCTCTGTGAGGAGGGTGATCATGCACGAGAACTACAGCGACCGGCTGGCCGGTATACCCAACGACATCGCACTGATCCACCTCAGCTCCCCAGCCTCTATCAACAGGAACGTCAAGGTCGCTACTCTGGCCGGTGCAGGTTCTTCTTTCGACGACACAGAATGCGTGCTGGCCGGATGGGGCCTGATCAGGACTGGGTCCTTCCCTGAAGAAGCCAACGTCCTGAAAGAGGTGAACATCACCAAGATCGACTCCTGGACATGCAACCGTCTGTGGGACTACTCTGGTGTGACCGACAAGCACATCTGTGTCCACGACGCCAGCCCGCCTGCCGGACAGCGTCCCAGCGCCTGTATGGGGGACAGCGGAGGACCCATGATGTGTGGCCGAGGACATGACATCTTGGCCGGGGTCACTTCCTGGGGAGAGCGCACGTGCAGCGGAACTCTGCCCAGCGTCTACACCAGGGTCTCTGCCTATCTCGGTTGGATCAGGAATAAGGCCCCCGAAGTCTTTAACTGATCTCTTGGCATCGCTGATCGATAAAGAAAGGTCCCGAAATAAATCCAGTTAATGCTTCAAATCAAGCTTGTTTGTTTGTTTGTTTGTTTGTTTATTTGCTTGTTTGTTTGTTTTGCAACCGCTTCTGTTGATGGTTGGCATGCACTCTGGTGTGGTTTTTCCCTTTTTTCCTATTCAACCGTCCCAGAAACTAGATTAACTCTTCTTAATAATTGCTTTTATTAGTGAGCTTCCCACTCATGATTCTTTCAAGACTGCTTCATTTGGTTGGGTC